CCCCACAGACCCCCGTCCCACCGCAGTCTCCACCCAACCAGAACGGCTACAACAGCTCCAAACACTCCCAGACGCAAGGCTCCTTACACAGTGAGTATCACACCACGTCCTAACCAATCACAACGCGACTAGTGATACATTCATTTAGTGATAACAATAAGTTTGTGTTAATTTGAGTTTTTGACCAGTGTTACAAATACCTTGTTTACATGTACATCATTTTCTGATTAAGGTTATAATAACAATAAATTATGCATAATTACACTATTTGACTTCATCCTTAAAACACATTTTTTTTTCTCTCTTTTCTTTAATCTTTCCCTGTCTAGTTTGTACTTATTTGAACAATGCTTGAAACTTGGTATGATGAGCACTTCCTGTGTCTATTTGCCTCTTTAAGATGAATCGCTTGATGTATTCCCCAATTGTAAGTCGCTTTGGATAAAAGCGTCTGCTAAATGAATAAATATAAATGTACAAGCAAGTAACCCTAAGCCAAACCCTAATCCTAACTCTAACCATATAGTAAGTACAAGTAGTTAATTAATATTACTCAGTACTTAAATATATAATTACACTGTAACAAGGACACCTTAATATAAAGTGTAACCTGAATTTGCATTTTCAGTAAGCCCGTCTGCTGTTTTTGTTCAGACCAATGCGAAAATCGACCCATATGCACTGCAGCAAACGCACAGTTATAAATGTGAACCAGTGGATCGACAAGAAGCTAATGCTAAAGCATTATAAAAATCTAAATAATTAAGATATATTTATGTTATTTAATATAATAATTGATTAATAATAATTGTTTAAATTAAACAATCTCTCTTTAAACAATCTCTTTAAAACCAAAATTGTTCAAAGGCTGAAATGTGAAGTTTATCATTTTACAAAACATTTTGTTTTTGTGAAAACCTGTATCTAAACTGTAAATAAAGCTCATATTTACAGTTTAATGTGTTACCATAGACATTGCCCTAAAGTGCTCATATGGTATTAATTTTATTTGTGCAGGCCTTAAAAAGGTTTTAAAAAGTCTGAAATTTGATTTTAAAAATCCTGCAGATACCCTGTAGTAATAAGTTATTTAAGTATTATTTTTATACTATTATGTTATTCAATAAATAAAACCTGTTTCTGTCAATTAATATTATTATTATTTAGTATTTTTAATGTATTATTAAAGTTATTTATATTCTTTATTACCTTTATTTTTACATTTTCAGTTTTATTTAAAATTTTGTTTACATTTTAGTAATTTTCTTATGTGTTTTTGACTTTTTTATTATTATTACTTTTTATATATTTTTCTTTAGCTTTACATTTTTTTTTAAATTTTAGTTGTAGTGTTAGTAGTTTGTGTTTTTCATCTAACATTTATGATTTAATTTCAGCTTTATTTCAATTAATGAAACCTTTTTAATAATTTTAGTATTAGTTAATAATAACATCTTGGTTTCTGTTTCTGTAGCCCCGCCCACAGTGAAATCTCACTGATCCAAACTGCTCTCCTCAAAGCTGTATATCAAACATCACATATATTGGCCGTGGCTTCGGCATGTACTTTCTCTTTCAGTGTAGACAGATAAAATACTTGTCGCTGGAAACTTGTCGTGTCATGCCTGTTTAGGTGTTATGATCTTTTCACTGCTTCATATACAAAACCTTTCTAATCTCTAAATTGCTGCAGCAACCTGGACAGGCAGCAGCACAGCTTCCTACACTCCTTTAGGACCCCAGCAAAACGGACGCGGCCACCAGCCTCCTCTCCACCACCCACACTTCTGTACGCTTGCCTTAAACACTGCTACAAACATGTTTGCAAATATACCATTATTTTGAATAGAACTGAATCAATCCATTATTATTTCTTTCTCTATCAGGGTCTCAGCATCACAGTTCAGCGTCTTTCCCCCCTCCAGTCTCCAACCATCCAGGTTTATACTTTATATAATCTCCACTAAAACGCACAATACAAAACGTTCAAATGGTCTGAGATTTAAAAAAAGAAAAAAAGAAAAGAAATGAATTCTTCTTTTCAGCAAGGACACATTAAATTGATCAAGAGTGCATCCACAGGTCCTGAGTTCTGGTGCTCCATCTCGTACTTCGAGATGGATGTGCAGGTGGGGGAGATGTTTAAAGTGCTGTCCAGTTGTCCGGTGGTGACGATTGACGGGTATGTGGACCCCTCAGGAGGAGACCGCTTCTGCCTGGGTCAGCTCAGTAATGTGCACCGCACAGACGCCAGTGAGCGCGCCAGGTATATGCAACTGATCCAGCCAGTAAATACCTCCGAGTCATATACTGAATATTTATGATTTAATCCGTATTGTCTTGTTGCAGATGTAAAACCAACATTGTGAATATGACAATGATTTTAATGCCCTTTTTATTTAGCTATTAAGCTTTAAAGACCAATGCCAGTAGACTAGTTCCATATTTATTCTTTTATCACAACTTGAATGAAATTAAATTTTTAATAGCATCAAAGAAAGAAAGAAAGGTAGAGATTCAGACAGTTTTAAGCTATTGATGAAAGACAATTTTGGAGCAAGGAGCAGAATCAACAAAATATTTTAGCATTAAAAAAAGGGCACTGACTGCATTTTTTTCTGCAATTCATGACTTTTTGGCTACAGTTCACTGCACCGTGGTGTTAATGTTAAAGATGCGAATTCAATGTTATTTTAATATTGCTTATATACAATAATAGTATTTATTAATTTAATCATATTTAAATATATATATATAAAATTACATATACAATTATATATATATATATATATATATATAAAATTATATAACAAATTAAAAAATTATATTAATTAAAATAATTAAAAATAAAATAATTAACTATTTAATATTATTTTAATTTACGTTTTAATAATTTTATGTGCTTGTCATTTTTATTAGTTTTTGTAATTTTAATTATTTATTTTTATTTTTTCATTCAATATTTAGATTTTATTTCAGCTTTATTTCATTTAATGAAATAAATTTTTTTAGTTTAACCTAACAATAACAACACTGCACGAATTAGAATACAGGTGTTAAATTATAAAAAAAATAAAAAATAAAATCAAAACTATTAAAAATACATTTCTTTAACTGAAATACAGCTAAAAGGACCAAAGCACATCACAAAATTAAAACTTAAACTAAAATTAAAAATGACATTAAAAACACTAAAATAAAAGCTTATTCAAAATATTAATAAATACTAAAGCACAATATGTGAATCATGCTAAAATAATACTGATTACTCTTTTAAGATTAAAAAGATATAAAGTGTTTGTATATGTGTGTACACACACACACACACAGTATATACACACACACATATCTGTCTATCTGTCTGTCCGTCCGTCCGTCCGTCCATCTGCGATGATGAAAATCATCAAAAGGCTGAAAAATATCAAGCTATATTGTCCAGACAAAATGGCTGTATGTGTGTGATATGTGTTTATTTGTATATAGATGAATTTCACAGGTTTCATGTTTGCCTTAACACACGTCTCAAAAACATCTTACTGTGCCAGATTGACACTGTGATGAACAATAATAAACAAACAGATTATGCAAGATAACAGTCGGGAAATAACTGGCTTTAACAAACTGATGAAATGAAATGTAAGCGTATCAACAGAGGCACATCTGGTTTTGGTTATGACACTTGGTGACGTGTTTATTTATGTTACGTAACTATCTGATGGAAGCAGAAGTGTTGTAAAGGCAGTTCTGTTTCAGTGTCTTGTCTCTCTGTCTGCAGGTTGCACATAGGTAAAGGAGTGCAGCTGGAGTGCCGCGGCGAGGGCGACGTATGGATGCGCTGCATGAGCGATCATGCTGTCTTTGTGCAGAGTTACTACCTGGACAGAGAAGCGGGTCGAGCGCCAGGAGATGCAGTGCACAAGATCTACCCAGGGGCCTACATAAAGGTAAAAGATTGAACCCATGAAAACTGTGGATGTCAAAGATGAAACACTTAAAAGGATAGTTCACCCAAAAATGAAAATTAGCCCATTATTTACTCACCCTCAAGGCATCCTAGGTGTATATGACTTCCTTCTTTCAGATGAATCCAGTCGGAGTTATATTAAAAATTGTCTTTGATCTTTCAAGCTGTTTAATGGCAGTCAGCGGGTGTTGTAGTGCATCCTAGGTGTATATGACTTTCTTCTTTCAGACGAATCCAGTCGGAGTTATATTAAAAATTGTCTTTGATCTTTCAAGCTGTTTAATGGCAGTCAGCGGGTGTTGTAGTGCATCAGTCCAAAAGAAGTTAAATAAAGCACATGCATCCATAATAAAAAGTGTCTCACACGGCTCCGGGGGGTGAACAAAAGCCTCCTGTAGTGAATCGATGCATTTTGTAAGAAAAATATCCATATTCAAAACATAATAATCACTTAAATCTAGCCTGCGCCAACAGTTGTACACAGAAGCAGCTCCAGGAGGATGACGTAATATGTTTTGATCTCTCCCCTGCGCTTCCCCGTTCGTCACTTCTGAGCGCAATGCCGACCTCATACATCATCCGCCCGGAACTGCTTCCGTGTACAACAGTGAGCGCAAGCTAGATTAAATTGATTATTATGGATGGATGCGCTTTATTTAACTTCTTTTGGACTGATGCACTGCAACACCCGCTGACTGCCATTAAACAGCTTGAAAGATCAAAGACAATTTTTTATATAACTCCGACTGGATTCGTCTGAAAGAAGAAAGTCATATACACCTAGGATGACTTGAGGGTGAGTAATTTATGGGTTAATTTTCATTTTTGGGTGAACTAACCCTTTAAGTGTATTAAAAAAATTATTTATAGGACAAAATAGTGCAATGTTAATAGTGCCAGTCAAATAGCATTGACTTGTAGAAAACTAGATTGTGGTTGAAGTTTTTAGCTTTGAATTTTTTTAAATTGTATATTTTATTGTATTTTATCTACATTTTACTTGTTAACTACAAAATAAATAAATAAATCACAAAAAAAGACTACATAGATTAAACAAAATACAACAATTAAAATATAAATCACTTTTCAAATTAATAAATAGATATATTTAATTTATAGTTTATAGTAATTTATTGTCTAATTTGTATTTAATCTTTGAAATATTGCTTTTTTGTAGTTAAAATGTAACACTTCAAAATTCAAAATGTAAATAAATCACTTTTCATGATTCATAAATATATAAATAAATGGATGGACATTTTTATATAAATTACATAGATTAATGGATGAATTTAGACCAGCTGCTTATGTAATTTATTTAATAAAATTAATGTTTTTGTGATTTAAAAACATTGTTCATGTAACAAAATAAAGCAACTAAAGCATCTACAAGCATTTAAATCCATTTATTTGTCAATTAGAAAAGTTTTTTATTTTTAAGCATAAAAACAAATTTGACCTTTTATGTACAAAAAACAGTATTTAAAAAATGTAAATAAGCAACTTGTCAATGTCTATTTGTCCATTTGAAAAGTTATTTACATTTTTGAATTATTGTTTTTGTGAAGTAAAAATGTAAAATGTAGTTACATGTAACAATAAAGTAAACATGCATTTTTAAATGCAAACAAAATAAAAATATAAAAAAATGTAAATAAATATCAGATAAATTTAGACAAGTTCCTTATTTAATTTTTTTAAAATTATTTTTGGGTGTGTTTTCATAGTACATGGTAGTGCAATCATGCTGTTATTATTATTACATCTTAAAAAATCAAGGAAAACTTCTCCTAATATGACCCCTGTAATTCCAGCCTCGATGGCCAGTGAATACCTTTGTGCACTTGAGAGCTCTGTATGAATTTTTGCTTCCTGTCACATTAGATTTGCTTGATCCAGAGCTTGACTTTTTTTAAGCCTGTCCAATGACTTCTCGTCAGCCGTTGTTTCAGGACACAGCAGCGAGGTCTCTGTATGTCATTGCTGTGCTGATAGCAGAAGTGTGAGTGTGTTGTGTGGTTTCTGCAGGTCTTTGACCTCAGGCAGTGCCACAGGCAGATGCAGCAGCAGGCGGCCACTGCGCAGGCGGCGGCGGCAGCACAGGCCGCGGCGGTGGCAGGGAATATTCCAGGACCAGGAAGCGTCGGTGGAATCGCTCCTGCAGTCAGTGAGTGTCTGCCTCATTCACCGTGAACTCAAAATAAGGGTTTTTGGACTTTAAAGGGCTAGTTCACCCAAAAATGAAAATTACCACATGATTTACTCTCAAGGCATCCTAGGTGTATATGACTTCCTTCTTTCAGGCGAATGCAATCGGAGTTAAATAAAAAATTATCCTGGCACTTCCAAGCTTTATAATGGCAATGGGTGGGTGTTTCTTTTCAACAGTCCAAAACAAGTCCAATAAAGCGCAATCCTCCAAAATATAACGTGCCTCACA